GGGCCTGTGTGGAAAGAGGAAGCTATGGGCCTATGGGCCACGCAGAGTGAGCCCCGCCAGGCAGCCCTGCTGGCCCCTCCCCGTGCTCAACTTCCCGGAGAGGCAAAACCTCCAGTGTGCGCTTGGCTACTCGGGGATTGGGCTGTTGAGTGAGGACCGCAAAGGGGATCCCTTTGGGGGCTCCAAGTGCTCCGGCCTCCCTTACTCCTTTTGAGGAACGTTGTTGTCGCCGTCTGCCAGCTGACCCTTGCAGGTCCTTGGGGGCAGAGGTCCCTGCAATTGAGTTGTCAACCAAGACTGCCCGGTTCCTTGCGGTCATCTCCTAGGGCGTGTACCGTGATTAACAGCAGGAACAAGAGTGGACGGGGATGACGTACTTCCTCAGATGCTAGGTGCTTTCTGTTGGCATTCAATCTGCTCGGCACGAGTCCCAGTCTCTGGAAGAGGATGTGTAAAACTAGACCATGATCACTCTGCAGAGCTTGTCAACCCTGTGGGGCAGTTCAAGTTGACGCCCGTCCAGTAGGGTCCCTGTGAGACAGAATGCACTCCAAGATGATTGGGTTTTTGTGGGGGCGGGCGGGGGGGTTTTCCCAAGAAAACCCATACAAAACCTGCTGCCTTGTGGGCAACTCTAGTCCTACAACAACCCCCACCACACACACACAAACACACATGGACCCAGTCCCTTTCCCCCTCCCAATAGCATCCAGGAGTCTCTGGACGAGGAGGCATGGGGGAGAGGGAAGGGTAGTAGGATTCCAATTTTCTTTCTGTTTGTCTGTCCAAACCCTGGTCCTTGGGCATCAGCCCCAGGTGAGAGGCCCTGTCACCTCTTGAAGGCAGGAGAGGGTCAGAGGCTGAGGTTTGGCAGGGCTGTCCTCGTGGTGGGGCAAGCAATAGCTGTGCAGGACCTCGCCCTAGCCCACCTCTCAGCCACCCTGAGCGTCCCCGTTTCTAAAGGGCAGCTCCGTGGCTGCTTAGGCCTCCTCCAGCTCCAACAAGGCTGGATCATCCCCGTAAGAGAGAAATCCCGCCATAGAGTCCTTACTGCGGGGACTCAGGGGCCGAGAACACTGGAGATACATACGCAGATGGCACTGGCACCCTGGGCTGGCATTGACTGCTGGCCTCTGAGCCTCCCAGGTGGCACTGCTGGGCTCCACTGTCTGCACCAGCGAGCCTACTTCACCAGACGAATCTGTACCTGTGTGAGTCATGTCTGACCCCTGGGGCAGTGGGGGCAGTCCGAGTTCAGGCTCCCGCAGAACACCAGAGTGGAGCGTGAAGGCTGAGATGCCTCACAGACTCGGAGCTAAGAATGACTGGCCTTTCAGAATTTCCTTCACGCCCCCCCCCCCATAAGCCTCAGTTTGCTCCTCTGTAAAATGGGGACACGGCCCGCCCTCCTTGGCTGTGCAGAGACAGACTGGCACGGTGTTTGCAGAGCA